GGCCTGGGTGCTGTCCCTGAGCTCCTTTGCTGAAGACTAACATTCTACCACTTTGATCCACAGTGCTACTTCTGGTTTTTGAGTGGTTAATTGGAGATAAGAGTTTCATGGGGACTTACCAGACTGGCTCAAACTGCGATCCTCAGATCTCAGCCTCCTAAGTAGCTAAGATTACAGGTGTGAGCCACAGGTGCCTGGCATAAGCCTATAAGACTCTTATCTCCACTAAACTACTCAGAACAAAACCAGAAATGTAGCTGTGGCCCAAATGGTGGAGTGCTAGTTTTGAGCAAAAGAAGCTCAGGAACAGTGTGTAGGCCCTAAGTTCAAGCTCTAGGACCACCACCAAAAAGCAAAAGTAAACTAAATGCTCTGGGCTTCAAGGGACTTACCTACTTCTGCAATGTCTTAGCTTCTTTAGTCTCTCTGTGGGCTCAGGTATATTTACATTATAGTGCTTGAATTCTTGATCATTTCGAAGACTTAGCAAAAAACACATCTGGTATCAAGAAAGTCAACTTGCAGTCTCTTTATCTTTTTTTTTCTTTAACTTTTTCCTTGAAGCCTACAGACTCTAGACTGATCCTTGTTTCCTGTACTACCCCTCTCTGAATTCTTCTCTGTTGCACAATGTTAAATCTTACCCTATGTATAATATAGTGAACATTGACACACATTGTCTGTCTTTTCACCCTATGCGGTTGTGACTGTTGAGTGTTTTGCCCTTTGAGGTCAGGAACTCTAACTCTTCGAGAGCTCACTGTGCTAATAGGATGTAGAAAATAGTTATTGATGGATATAAGGTTTGCTGACACTTAGAAATGTAATTGGAATCCTTTGATAAATTCTTGGCATAATAGAAAGATTGTTTTGTACTGACACCTATATCATAACCAAAATGGAGGAGGGGGGTGTCTCAAAATTGGTAAAATCTGTTAAAAATGCTATAGATCAATTCGAAAAATCTGTTTTAAGGCATTTGGTTAGAATGGTGCAACATTTATTTTTTTATTTAAAAAATTCTATTGTAAAGATACTGTACAGAGAGGGGTTACAGTTACATGAGCAAGGTCATACATACATTTCCTATCAAGCATTGTTGCCTCCTCCTTTGTTTGTCTCCTACCATACCTTCTCTCTCCACCTCCCCAACTCCTCCTCCTCCTGCCCCAAGTTGTAAAGTTCATTTTCAACATAGTATGTTGTACATCTCATTGTTACAATGGGTCAACCTGTATCCTTGTTTCAGCATTTTGTTATTTTCCTTCCCCTCCCCAAATTAGAAAAATGTATATACAAGATGCAGGGCACTGGAATCAAATACAGTGACAACAGGGGTTTATACCATAGTAGGAAGAACATACAAATGAAAAATAAAATCACATAGTATATTAAAAACAACAGCAACAAAGAAAAAAAAATCTTGTGTCCACAGAATGGTGCAGTCTTTAGAACTTAATTTATGTTCCTTCTTTTTTTAACTACCATGTGCTGCTCAAAAATAACTAATTGACAAACATTCTCTAGGTCTTCTCTTTTCCTGGTTTATGTCTCTGTGCATTCGGATTACAGATCCCAATTATATCCCTTTTATATGTTAACACAGTGTAGGAGGACTGTGTACTCAAACTTGGCTTATTCTTTATTTAGTTTTCATTTTCTGCAGCAATGCTCTTAGGTCTTAAAATCAAGCTTTTAGTGTATTTTTGTTCCTTTAATGGAAAGGATTTGTAACATATGCATTAAATTCAAACCTTCTTAAGGGAAAGCATTTGGATGGATGCTAATTTTGCTACCTTTGAAGCATTACTATTATGTCATTAATAGGTATTAAATAAAAAGTATATGCTCTCTCGAAGTTTATTCTAACTATATTAATTAGTTATAATACCATTTAATAGTTTGAGTAGCGTAAGAATTAAACTTAAGGGCTAGGAATGTGGCTTAATGGTAGGGTGTTTGCCTAGCATGCATGAAGCCCTGGGTTTGATTCCTCAGTACCACATAACCAAAGAAAGCCGAAGTGGTGCTGTGGCTCAAGTGGTAGAGAGCTAGCCTTGAGCAAAAAGAAACTCAAGGACAGTGCTCAGGCCCTGAGTTCAAGCCCCAGGACTGGCAAAAAAAAAAAAAATGAACTTAAGCTACTTCTTTCATTTTCAATAATACTATTAATAAGTTAGTAAAATTAACTATTAATAAGTTAATAAAATGTGCCAATACTGGAGCTTGAATTAAGAGCTTTGTGCTCTCGCTTGGCCTTTTTTGCTCAAGGTTGGTGCCTTACTACTTGAGCCATTCCTCCACTTCTGTCTTTTTTTTTTTTTTGCTGGTTAATTGGAGCTAAGAATCTCACTAACTTTTTTTTGGCCTGGGCTGGCTTTGAACTGTGATCCTCAGCTCTCAGCCATCCGGAGCAGCTAGAGTCTTTAGAAACATAGTTTCCTTGTAGTCATTTCACATCTCTACCTTTTTATTTCTATTTTTTTTCTCTATTTCCCCCCCTTAAGTTTGCATTTTGTTTGTGCTGCCTTGTGTTGAAGCAGGTTGCTGTGTGGTTTGGGGTGGAATTTAACCTTGGCTTATGTCTCTCCCCACACAGTCCCTTCAGTCCGAATATGTTCATTACTAAGGCCTTGCCACTGCGGTGAAAGCGGCTGTGCTTAGACATCTGGATGGGCAGTGTGGACAAAAAGTTCCTACTTACCGCATGGATTCCTGCTCTTTACCTTACATTAGAGAAAGCACTAAGATAATACCTTCGAGAGACTTGAAGCCAGAAATCTGGCTAAATGACTACTATAAATGCACTGAAACTGTTTATGGAGATTTCAACCCTTTTTTTTTAAAAAAAAAAAAAAAAGACAGTTTTAATGTTGAATTTGGTATTTCGAAAGGTTATTTCTAATGTATTTCAGTAATACATTTGTTATATGTACAGTGTTATATTATGTATGTATTGTGAACTTTGAAAGTCTATTTTGATAAATTTATAAATATCTAAAAATGATGTATAAAAAACCTAGACTATATTTTGATTTAGATTTTCCTGCTGTTTGCTACCAAAAATTTGTATTTTAAGACTTCGTTTTAGTATGGTTTTGTCTACAGTGAATTCCTCCTCATTAAGATAAAATAAGTGAGAAAGTTTAATTTAAAGAAGTCAAGTTTCTCTATACCAAGAGTAGAATCTTTTTGATAGGGCTTATTTAAGACAAAACTGTTTTCTTTTGGTTTCATTCTGGAGCCATTTAAATCAGCCTTGTTTCTAGCAGGCAGTCCAGTTCGAAATCAGCTTCACTGGATATTTCTCCTGAAAGCAGGATTCTTCTCTATGAAAGGACTCCACATTCCAGTGCTTTTATTTCTTCGCACTTTTCCCAAGAGTGCTTTTTTTTTAATGCCTTAAACCATTTACTTATTATCTTACTTAACTCTGTACATATGCAGAGGAGGGGTATATATGTTGAAATCCATGTCTGAAATTTCCAAGAGCTTTGTCCCTAAGTGTACAATGATTATTCTAATGTCTTCTCCCTCCTCCTCACCTCCCCCTGCCCCCAACAAAAAAGCACTTCAGAAGTGATTCAGTCAATTAGACTCTTCTTGCTTTGGATACAAGATGGGTTCATAATGTACTATGGTCTGACACCACTTTTAAATGGATGAAGAAGAAAACTGGAAAAGACGCTGCTAAGTAATTCTCCATAGTAAAGGAGATATTTTTTGAACAGAGTACAGCCCCCTTGGTGTGTGTGAACCTAGTGTGAAACAGAAGGGTCCCAAAGGCCTTACTGCCCTGTGTGTACGTGTGATTTTTATATTCATGCTTCAGAGCCTGTAAGCAATTTCATTTGCCTGGGAGAGGGAGGGCCTTGGGTTCTCATTCTCTGCCAGACTTTTTTTTTTAATGGGCAACACTGACATGACAAGTGAAATGGATTCATCTGAAGTTTTTTGTTGTATCTATTAGGAATACGTTATCGTATTAATTAGGAAGGGGTGACTTGAGATCCTGTTATGTATGTGCTTCAGCAAGTCATTTTCTCCATGTTTTGATTTTTTTTTTTACATCTTTCAAAAAGGCATCTGATGAATGTTTGACTCAGGTTTGTTATTCTATTTTTCAGTCACTGCAGTACCAAATAATTGTACTCCGTGGATGGAAAAAAAATGGATTTATATGCTTTGGGAATCAAAAGTTAAAATAAGAGGAGTTAAATTGTATATCTTTTTCAAAAGCTGGAAAGATACTGTATTTTATTATGAGTTAATGTAAAAAATGATTAGCTGTATAGGAAGATGATAGTATTTTTTTAAATTATGATTGAAAAGTAATTCAGATGACATTTAAAAAGTAGGGGAAAGGGAACTGTACTGATGTGTTCACTTCTGTGAACACTAATTTGTGTGCAGCTATTGAAATGATTGTGAGGTTGACTACTGTAAATTTTCCATAATTATGTGTGTGAGTTTAAGTCATATGTATCTACATGTGTATGTCTTAAAAATTACTTATACACATGTGCATACATAGACACATCAAGAAAGGGAGGTCTACACCATAAAAAATATATAGCAAAGTAATTCTACTCCATTGATAAAGTTGTTTGACATGTATTTTGTTATGAATAGTTTATCTTCCAAAAGATATTTTGTTCTATTTTAAAGTGTAGATAATACACTGCTAATAAATAATAAAAGTTTTATGCAATTTATTCCTGGGCTTTTGTAATTTGGATTTTGAATAACCAATGTACTGAAATTTCTTTTGTTTGTTTATGTGCTGGTACTGGGGCTTGAACTCAGTGTCTGGGTGCTGTTCCTTAGCTTTTCGCTCAAGGTTGGTACTCTTCCACTTGAACCACAGCTTCCTCCCAGATTTTTGGTGGTCAATTGGAGATAAGAGTCTCACAAACTTCCCTGCTTGGGCTGGCTTTGGACTGCCATCCTCAGACCTCAGCCTCCTGAGTAGCTAGGATTACAGACATGAGCCACTGGTGTCTGGCTATAATTTTATTTTTTGACTCAGTATGGTTGGTTCCCTTTGGGGTTTCTCAGGATCTTTATTATGGATTGGTAGTTTGTCTTTTCTTGGCCTGCCAGGTTGTGTCATTGACATAAACATGTACAGTGAACTAAGAGGGACAGTCTACTTTGAATTCCACACAAGTCACATAATGTTCCTCTTCACTCCTTCCTTCTTTTCCTTCCTTCCTTCCTTCTTTCTTATTTTCCTTTAGAATAAAATTAATAAAATACTGTTGAGAAGCTGGGCAGCAGTGGCTCACACTTACCTATCTCCAAATAACCACCAGAAAACTGGAAGTGGCATTGTGGCTCAAAGTGGTAGAGCGCTAGCCTTGAGCTGAAGGGCTCAGGGACAGGGCCCAGGCCCAGAGTTCAAGCCCCACAATCGATCCCCCTCCAAAAAAAAAATACTGCTGAGGACCAGTGTTGTGGGTCATTTGTCAGTACTGATGATTATTGACTGATATATCTACTGATTATCAGAAGGAAGATTGGGCACCTTTCTAAAAGAGAATTTAGAGAATCAAATCAGATGGAACAAACTAACCCTCTGTTGGACTGATGCCCAGAGCATCAGCTTGGAAAGATGTTTATTGGAGACCTTTCTCATATGAACTTGGGGCTCTCTGGGTTTCCCAGCAGGGGAGCAGGAAGATGGCTTCATTTCTTGCGCTGGTAATCTGCAGTTAGCTCTCCTCACAAAACTGCAGGAAATAAACATGGGTACTAAGGGTCTCATGGGACCACATCCTAGGTAAAAGATGTCTTAGGAATCATGAACCTACTGAAGAAATACCTCTTCTCCTATAGATGAAATTATTGTGGGAGGGGGAAATAGCTGCAGGTTAAGAAACAAATAGGCTGCCGGGCACCGGTGGCTCACCCCTATAACCCTAGCTACTCACGAGGCTGAGATCTGAGGATCGCCGTTCAAAGCCAGCTGGGGAAGAAAGTCCATGAGACTCTTATCTCCAATAAACCACTAGAAAAGCACTGTGGCTCCAGTGGTAGAGCACTCACCTTGAGCTGAAGAGCTCAGAGACAGTGCCCAGGCCCAGAGTTCAAGCCCCATGACCCACCAAAAAAAAAAAAAAAAAACAACCAACCAACCAAACAAAAAGCAAAAGAAACAAGCTGAGCGCTGGTAACTCACGTCAGCAACAATGCTAGCTACTGAGATCTGAGGATCATCGCTTGAAGCCATGCCAGGCAGACAAATCTGAGAAAGACTTTTATCTCCAATTAACCAGCAAAAAGCAGGAAGCAGAGTTGTGGTTCAAGTGGTAGAGTACCCAAAAAGCTAAGCAGGTGTACAAGGCCCTGTGTTCTGGCTGAGGGAGATTTAGAACTGTGTGGATGGATGGATAAGGAGTGGCACCCCCTTCTTTCTGGGACCCTGGGGAATGCAGAGATGGGCTATCCAGCCTGCACCTCCTCTTCCAGAAGACCTTGGGAAAGCAGAGACGCCCCAGTGGAACCTCTACTTCCTCCTCTGCAAAGTCCAGATAATGGCTTCAAGAAAGCAAAGACCTCGGTGATGCTGGAGCAGATGTATGGTCCCCTTGGGTGAATGACAACCACTCAACCAGATGTTAGGGCAGCGAGACTCTCCAAGAAGTATAAAAGAGGAACTCCAGAGCCTACAGTGGGGCTAACTGATTTCCAGGCCCGACTTCTCACTCCCTTACATTAGAGAAGTCGTCTGAACTCTCCCTCTCTTCCCTCCTCCTCCTCCATTTCCCACCTCCCCCTCCACTTCTTTTCTCCCCGTCCTCCTCCCTCTCCTCCTCCCATGTTCTCCCCTCTTCCTTGTCTGGGAAGCAGGTAGAAAACACAGTATGGCAACCTTCCCAGTCCAGAGCTTATACCAACCCTCCAATAGCTAAGAGATTTTTCCTCAGTTTCTCCGGACATTTGATTCTTACTTTCAAATAAACTTTGTCTCTGTGTCCACTTTTCCTGCCTAGTAATTGTCCATCTGGTGGACAGTTATGCCTCTTTAGAGGCGTCTGTTAATTTGTCTTTTTGTAATAAAGCTCTCAACTTTTCACCTTCTCTTCCTGTGTCCTTGTCATCAGTTTTTGGTTGCATTTGGAGCAATGAACTTGACTCATACAGTCACAAAACTCTGGTGCTGGCAATTACAAAAATAATTGATTAAAAATTTCCACTTTCAACAATCTTCTTACCTATTGATCATGGAGTTTGCATGATTGTCTTACTCTTAAAGGCAAAAAGATGTATAAATCTCAAAACACATGTGGCAAGACTACTCAGTTATTTCTATGTTTCTGTCATCTAGGACTCAAATATTGCAGGAATATGAATTTACCGACTGTAAGCGACACACATGCATGTTTGGATCTGTTCTCACTTGCTTTCTTGAGTAACAGGTGAGCTGTTTCCCCCCTACCCCCCAAGCCACTTGCTTGTGTATAAGTAGAACAGCATGACGTTTCATACCTTCTTTGTGGTCTGTGCTCTTGAGGCAGAGTTAATGCTGCTGCGAGAGGTGGTGAGTTCTGTGAACACTCCACTAAGGAAGACTCTAGTCACTGTCCTTTCTGAGCTGAATTCTGGATCACAACAGGAGACACATGAAAAGCATGACATCCAAAGTCCTTTATTTACACAGAGGTTGCATAGGGGTGGCAATCATGACCTATAAAGGAGAGTAGAAAATAGTTGTATCAGGTTATTTTGAGCTGAATTGAAATGTTAATATATTCCCACCCCGTTCTCTTCTATGGATTGAATTATGATAATCATATCAAGAAGGAGAGAAAAAAATAGCTTTTCTAGAGAGTGTTCAACTATTTTATTTTGTAAGTGCTAGGTAAAAATGCATTTAAAATATATTGGATAGGGGTGACTTGTTTTAAGTAGACAAACAAATTGGCTGATTCACTCACTCCTGTGCATTGTTTTCACCTGCTGACCTCCAACGTGGAGGGGAGTTTCTTCTTTGCTGTTTCGTCTTTGGATTGAATCAAGTTGGCCCAAACAGTTTTGAGAAATTGTACTGCAAGTGAAAAATGGGGTAGGGTGGGAACTGGAGAAACGACTAAAAAGCAAAGCAAAACAACATACTAGAAATGACCACAGTTGCAAATACTTACACTAAATACATTATAAAAATAAAATGATCTAAAGTATAACTCTCTTCTAAAAGGACTTGAGGTAGCTTGCAGACAGCAGGCTACCACAGGGGAGCAAGTTTTGAACACAATTAGTATTAATTGCGTGTGTGTGTGCCTGTCCTGGGGCTTGAACTCAAGCCCTGGGCAAAGCCCCTGAGCTTTTCTGCTTAAGGCTAGTGCTCTATCACTTAAGCTACATCTCCACTTCTGGCTTTTTTGTTAGTTCGTTGGAGGTGGGTATCACGGATTTTCCTTTGCAGGCTGCCTTCGAACCATGATCCTTAAATCTCAGCATCCTGAGTAGCTAGGATTACAGGTGTGAGCCATAAGCTCTCAGCTTTGGCCGCCAGTTTTTGAGGGCTTAAAGGTTAAGATCTGTAATCTTCTCAGATGTCATGGGGTATCTGTCCTCTCTTCTTCAGTTGGACAAATTTATGCACATCTTTATCCAAATCTGGATTTCCTATTGGGATTTATTTTACTGTTTTTTTTGGAGGGGATTTTTCCAAAGTGGAATTTTTCAATCTCCCCCATAGATCCCCTCAATAATTATATCAGATATGTTAGAATACAATGCTCAAAAGACAAATTGAAGCAGAGATTAGGAATGTATGATGACAGTCTCCGTCTTTCTTATTCCTGACCTTTTCTAGAGCTAATGTAGCTTTACTACGCTTAATGTAACTAAAGCATTTCCCTTTGGGAAGTTAAATGAAATTTGAAAGAAACAGAGAAGAGGCTTGAGATTAGTTAAAAGATCTATTCGTCTTTGCCTTTATAAATAAGTAAATAAAGCAGTGGTAATCAGTAGAAACTGTTGAAAATGAACTATACAACTTATAGGTGGAGACAGGAGGTGGGAGACATTGTCCAAAAGGAAATGTACTCTTCATGTGATTTATGTAACTGTAACCCCTCTGCACATCACCTTTATAATAACAATACAAAGTTAAAAAAACAACCACAACAAAATAAATAAGGAGCGATGGTCTTGAAGGCAGAATTTTAATTGTATTCTATACATTTTAAGAGATACCCAACGAGGCATATTCCAGAAGTTTCCATCAATTCTAGAAAGATGTAGACAGTTTCTTTCTAAAGCAGTTTGAGTGTTGTCCTTAGCGTGCATTTTGTGAGTGCCCAGCAGGGCTGGGTAGGCTTAGCTTGCCCTGAGCTGAGGCAGTGTATAATCTTCTTCTCTTTCCTATGGCCCTGATCTATCTGTGGGCCAAAGACTTTTCTCACTACAGTTGCTACTAGCTAGAACATAGTAGCGCTCATGATCTTCAGTGACCTTTAGTGACCTTCAATGACCAAGGCTACCTGACCAGGAAGGACATTGAATGGCAAAACTAAAGAAAACATTTGGCTTTGTGCCACTGGTGATAGGTAGAACACAGGACCACAGGGCCCCGGCCTGGGGAGTTCTGTCCTGACACTGCACCAGACACCCAATAAGGACCACTGCCTTGTCACCGCAAAGACTCAGGCTGCTCAGCACAACCCTGAGAAACTGACTAAGCTGACAAACAGTGATTGCAGAATCG